TTCTTGCTCGCACGCACCGTGCCCCGACAGGATCTAGACTCTGATTCCGTCTGCGCCTTAATCCTGTGTGTAACTGTAGTTTTTGGCGGGCGCAATCACAACTGTAATCTTCGTGTTCTTGATGGCTTTCGTATTTCCTTCTTTCCCGCCTCGTCTTCGCATGCACGCTTTTCCTCTGTTCTAAATGGTTCCCACGGTTGCATGCCCGGAACGATGCGCGGAGAGTGGCTTCGTCCCCCGCGTCGCGGCCTGGACATCCAGACGTAGGCACTACCTCTTTTCTCTTTCTCATCACTTGGTGCTAATCCCGTATCCCTCGCGCAAGCATGCATGCTATAAATTTCGCAAGCACGATTAGTTAGCTCTCTAAGAACTTCACGGTTAGCACGACCAGTGAGGGTCGGCTAACGAGCATTGGAAGGGGAGTGAGCATGAGAGTTGGGCGATCCGATGAGCTGGTGCTGAGTGCGCGGGGTTGACGCATGGTCGCGACGGACTGCGGCACGTGGGCGAACCTGGCTTGCACACTTAGGCCACGCGGGGTGACGACTCTGTGTGGCTTGGAGATGCGGGACAACAGACTACCCGCATTGAGAGAAGAAAGAGAGAGAGAGAGAGCGAGATAGGGATATGGTGGAACAGTGTCTTTTTCTCCTTAATCTTCCATGTAAAGTTTTGATTCCAACGTTGGTTAATTTTTGCTCTGGCACCTTCGGACTTCCTGTGCGAGTCATCTCGGACTATCTGCTTTGTGTGTATGTATGCATGAGAGTGAATCCTCTTTTTGAGTTGTCTTTAATCTCCAACTTTGTTCTGTTCAATTTCAATTTCGTCACTTTCGAGTACCCGTCTGTGTTGTGCGTATGATCTCGCGCACATCTTGTCCAATTACTTGATTTTCTTGAGTCGCGCATGATTGCAAGGATCATGGGGTGCGTTGGTTCTGGATGCTAAACTAACTCTGCCCTCTCTTGTATATGATGGTGTGAGCATGGGTGCAAAGATTAGTATGCTTGAGATTTGGATAACAGTCGTGCGAAAGGACTAGTTGCATGCATATTGGATAAACCGACACGCAGGCAAATCGCTCATCGGCGACGAACTCGCATGCAGTCTTGGATCCGATCGGACTAGCTCATGCGCACACACGCGTAAGGCAGCCGGACCTGCAGTCTGCGCGCGCGCGTACAAGAGTCAACCCGATCCCACTCGTCGAAGATGCCTACACCGAACTCCACTAAATAGGATATGGGGATCGAAACTCCCTTTTGGATTACCGATCGTGAGAGTCTGAGAGATCCGAAATACCGAGCGTATTGGGAAAGGGAACAAGCCAGGCGGCAACAAAACTCACGGAAACCCGAGTACCCCTACCGAACAGGAAACGAGCAACTGTGAAGAGGCGATTTCCAGTTGGCCATAAATCGGGACTCGTGGGTCCCGGATTATCCCGACACTGAAGCCAGCATTACCTTCTGACCCCAAGCTTTGTGGCCATCACCGCTAGTTTCCCTCCCTATTACGTCGTCCTCCCGTACCACCAACTACTTGTCGTCCCTTGGGAGTCCATAGCCCGGTTCTGGGCCCGCCCGCCGTGCTCAGAGTACCAGCAGCGTGACGAGTACCGTCCGGTGGGGATCACTCGACGAACCCATTCTGAAACGGAACGACGAGAGCACAACTCATTCTCCCCAGCCTCGGAGACGTGCGTCGGCCGGCAACGGTACGAGCGTTCCCACCGGGACACCCGTAGCGCCCCACCCGAGCACCATACGCGTATCAGGCCGCGAGATCGGCCATCACCCCAACTCTACAGACGTGCACGTTGTGGGTACGTTCTCCCTTGGCAGCGAGACGAGGGTATGCTCGACGCTCAGGCGGGCATAGAGCTGGACCCCGTGCGTTCGGGGATGAGGAGCTCGATGACGCTAGAGGAGATCGAGGAGCAGGCTGCCCTCATTTCGCGCGATCCCATCGGGTCCTCTGCGCCGCTCCCTGTAGAGTCTGTTTTCGGTGCTCGTGCGGCTATCTTCTGGCCATACCCCAGGGATGATGCCTCTGGGGACGAGAGGGAGCGGGAATGTGCGGACTACCCCGCACTTCCCATCCCGCGCGAGATTGACGAGTTGCACGAGGAGGGCGGCGACTTGCACGAGGGGGCAGAGCGGACGCACACCGCGCTGGGGGTGGGGGATTTCGGGGGCGTAGAGGCAAGATCACCCACTCCCGCGCGAGAGCATACGCCTGCTCCTACCGCCACAGTGCGGGAACAAACGATTGTTTCCGCGACCTCGCATCAGCAGACTCCTGCTCCTACGAGGACGTGCGAGCGGACGAGTACTCACACGACGGAGTCTGGACCTTCGTCGCAGTTGCATCTTCCTCGTCATTCAGTAGCATTGTCCGCCGAGACTGCTTCTATAGAGCATGTTGAGCGCTTACCAGCAGCGGTTAGGAGAGAGGACTTGGGATCCTCGTTGCGCATACGCGGGCATGGATCGTTGTTTAGCGTAGCCCGTCAGCTCGTTTTGGACATGCCCGACGAGGGGGATTTGGAGGAGGGTGTTCATAGCGGGACAGCGGTGGTGAGGGAGAGACGGGCGGAGGAGCATGGAGCGAGCGGAGTTGACGACCTTGAGGGTATTCGAGGTATGGGGACGAGTTAGCGGGAGCAGGGCGGACAGGGTTGTCATCTACGCTGCATGATAGATTAAGGGGGGATGATGGTGCGCAGGTTGAGAGGGAGGCGGGAGTGGAGATGGATGATGGTGCGCATGTTGAGAGGGAGGCGGGAGTGGAGGTGGTGCAGGTGGATGATGGTGCGCAGGTTGAGAGGGATGCGGGAGTGGAGGTGGATGATGGTGTGCAGGTTGAGAGGGAGGCGGGAGTGGAGGTGGATGATCGTGCGCAGGTTGAGAGGGAGGCGGGAGTGGAGGTGGATGGTGGTGCGCATGTTGAGAGGGAGGCGGGAGTGGAGGTGGATGATGGTGCGCAGGTTGAGAGGGAGGCAGGAGTGGAGGTGGATGATCGTGTGCAGGTAGAGAGGGAGGCGGGAGTGGAGGTGGATGATCGTGCGCAGGTTGAGAGGGAGGCAGGAGTGGAGGTGGATGATCGTGCGCAGGTAGAGAGAGAGGAGGACGTCGTGACTACTCAGGTTGGGAGAGAGGAGGGCGTGGCAGTGCCTTCCGATGTTGCACAGGGTGAGAGACAGGAGGACATGGTCAGGGCAGATGGTACTGCGCTGGTTGAGGGAGAGGACGACGTGGTAGGGGGGGGCGTCGCCCATGACGGAGGAGAGGGTAGCAACACCCTTGACCCGATTGTCGAGCGTTTGATCGCTGACGAGGTGGGTCCCGCACTATCGGGTTTGACCCCGGGCACGATGAGGGCACTGGGGGCGTCGCCATCAGGAGAGAGCGGGGCGGTTGGCGATGAGATGCGGGATTTTGCACAGATGTCTTTCGGGGATCCTCCCACCCCTTGGCAGAGTCGTCACGCAGAGATAGAGGATATGGCGCGTTCCCTAGCGGCCGCTGGTTACTCCGCAGAGGAGATCGAGCAGGAATTCGCATGAGCCTCCAGGACTCGTACACGGGACACGCTTCAGCAGGGATACGAGGAGGTACGAGAGCACCCTCAGGAGGAGCATGACGATGCAGCTGCTGCAGAGATCCCGGGAGGTAGCGGTCCGTTGGTACAGTTCACGGGCATACAGCTGACGACGACGATGTGCCCAGTTCGACCATGTGTGCAGGGCTCAGGTTCTGAGGAGGTGGCACCTGACGAGGTACCACCGATCGTAGTGGTGTAGGATCAGAGCCACCGCTTCAGACATCCGTTAGTGGGCGGCGAGCTCCTGAGGATACTTCTTGCCCATTGGATGCGGCAGAGCTCGGACGGGCTGCTGTGCGTGATGTCACATGGTAGGAGGACACATACTCATGGAGACCAGGCATGCCTCCTCCTCCTCCGAGATCACGTTACGGTGATTCACCCTCGACACCAGCGCGTGCACACCTCTGCTCACCATCCACGTCTGGCAGACCCAGGGTCCGTGACACCACGGGCGTAGGGAGCCTCCCTTTTGACACGACACTATTCGGGAGGACAGATATCGACCTGGACTCGACTCGCCGGGTAACAGTGCACACTTCACGACTCCAGCCAGGTTTGGGTGGGGGTGGCACCGGGAGGGGTGAGGCTCGGGAGGTCATGGCGGCAGTTTCTCAGCCGCGACATGTTCGTGGGGGTGTAGAGGCCGAGTCCACCTTACAGCACTCTTTGGCAGCAGCAGCACGTGTTGTGTGTCACGAGACTTTGTGCAGGAGCGCAGCATATCGTGACTCTCGTCCGCGTCCCGTGCCTGCGGCGGGTGGTGCCGCATTGGGGGAGTCTTCAGAAGCTGAGGGCTTGGGGGTGCTGGGGGGTTCTCGTCGTGATAAGACTCTCGAGGTCTTTGTCGGGACTAGTGAGTCCCGAATAACTTCCCATCACTCAAGACACCAAATATGGACGATTTGTGCACAACAGAGAAATCCAGAGTGAGACGATATAAGGGATTAGGCCACAGGAGGGAGTAATGCCCTGGGGCGAGAACCACAGGGGGAAAGAACTAAGCGGCAGCAAGCGAGCGAGAGCAAGAACAGGGGCACGTAGAACATAGCAGGAGGCCGGGACGGTCATCGGAATGCAATAAGACTAAGGCCAAACGGCCCCTTGAACCAGCAAATGCAGCACGACAGCGATAAAGGAATGAGGAAACCGAGGGATGGGTGGCCCAGAGGCCGCGGGAAGCCAGGAAACGAGGGGCCAACGTGGAGGCCACCTACGGGAGCCTCGAAGCGGAGACCCACGACCAAAAGAGATCGACGCGCACAAGGCGCGAGGAAAGACTAAGGAGAAGGGTCGCTATGGGGCGACAAGACGGCCAAGGGGCATGGGACACCTCAGGGAAAGGCACCCGGGGCCACATGGGACTAAGTAAAAATAATGGCCTCCGAGGCGAAATGTACCGGGGACCACCAGCGGAACTAAGTGTCGGGGACCACCGGCGAGACCAAGTATCGGAGACCACCGGCGGGACTAAGTGTCGGGGACCATCGACGGGACAAGTGGCGGGGACATGTGAAAGTCCCAAGAAGAAACGGCGACACCACATGAGGAAAAATAATAAATGCAAGGTGCACCGTCAAGATCAACATCTTGACGGCCAAAAATATTAGCACCACTAGCGCAAGCACTAGTGGTGACAAACGGAAAGGCCAAAAGGAAAAGAAAAAGTAAAGAAAACTGAAGTTGAAGGCATAGGAGCAATCCGAAAAATCTCGGATTAACCTCCCCTAGGAAAATGGAGACAAAAAAGACCCTATGTGAAAAATAGCCTCCGAGAGAAAATCGGAGTAGGAGGGGACACTATGGGAGAAATGTAGGAGCAAAAGGAAGCTCCCATGGGCATGGGAAGATCATTATTGCAGTCCGAGAAATAACGGACTGCATTATGGGCATAGAGAGGGCCGAAACTAAGAGGAAGAGGCTAGAAAAGGGCCTTAACGACCACTTGACACTTGACATGCAAGAAAAAGAGAGAAAATAAAAGAAAATGTGGAAGAATAAGACAAAAAGAGTGAGAGGGAGTGAGTGAGTTGGCCGTCAGTAGGGAATGCCATAGGTAGGGACTGACAGGTCCCTACTGTTCAAGAAAGGAGGAGAAAAGAAAAGAAAAGAAAAGAAAAGAAAAGAAAAGAAAAGAAAAGAGAAAAATGCCTTAACGGTAAAAAACGGTCACATGGGGAGATTCAGTCGTGTAACCAGATTCATTCTAGAATATGATGGTTACAATTTTTTTTTTATTTTCTTTGATTTTTGCAGAGAAAATCAAAGAAAATCAAGGCCTCTTGCAACCGAAATAAAACGGATTACATGCATGAGGAGAAACACATGTTTTATGTGCATCCGGAGCCAAAATCAAGTCCGGATGCACTTGGGAATTGACCGTTTCTTTTTCTTTTGAGTAAGGGTTAGTTGTAGGGCATTAGGGCTAAGGAATTAACCCCCATTGCAGTCCGAGTTGTAACGGACTGCGTGGGGGAGAGAAAATACATGTTCTAGGTGCATCCGGAGCCAACAACATAAAAATTCCTTCATATTTATAAATTATCATTCCAATGTTTGTCCAATTCTAAAATTTCCAATTTAATTTGATAAGTTCCCGTCTAATTATGAGCTTTCCCTTCCAAGTACATCTATTTGTTCAAGATGGAATGAAAATATGGACGAGTTTATGAAATGTTTTAATTAGACTTTCATTTTACTGCAACAAATATCTTCTAATTTAGATTGGATTAACCTATTTATGAATGAAAATCCTTACTTAGAATGACAGTCCAATTGAAATATTTCATGAAGTCATCCAGGATTTCATTCCCTCTCTAGCATGCATTTCAAATAAGAAAGGATACCCCATTCTTGAAAATGACATTTTAAAGTGAGACGAAAAATTTTAAAATTGGAATGACATTTTTTAAGATGGAATGAAAATTTAAAATTTAGAATGTAATTTTACTCTAGAATGATTATTTAATTCTGAAAAAATTTTCTGTTGAATATTGAGCCCGGATGCACTAGGAAATTTAACGCTTCATTTTCTTTTAACATGGGCCAAGTTGTGGGGCTGTGGGTATAGAAAACAACCATGACTACAGTCTGAGAAATTACGGACTGCATGGGGATGCCAAGGCTATAAGAGGAAATGGATTACGACAAACCCGGAAGGCTAGAAAAGAGCAATTTCGGCATGGGGCAAGTAAAGACGGTAAACGACAACCGTAAGATGAGATCGCACGACCTAGAAAAATCGGCACACATGTAGAAATGATGGGACCACCAAGGGCAAGGGGCCCAAAAAAAAAATAAAGAAAATGGAACGTCGTCCGGAATGTTGCCGGGGACCAAATGGGTCAAAATAATAAAAATCGGAAAATAGGACATGCGCTGGTGGAACCGCAGGCGGGACAAGGAAATAGAGCTAGCATGAAGGAAAATGGCGGGGATTTGGGATGTCCCAAGGGAACCATGAGCGAACACAAGGAATATTTGTGCAAACAAACGGCACCGTCAAGATCAAGGATCTAGACGGTGAAAAATATTAGCACCACTAGTGCAAACACTAGTGGGAGCAAGTGGGAGAGTCATGGGAGAAAGAAAAGTAAAATAAGGATGTTGAGAAGGCTGCCCAGCAGTCCGGGATATCTCGGACTAGCTAGGCATAAGAAAATAGAACCTTGAAAGACTCAACATGAGAAAAAGGCTGCCCTTAGAAAATCGGAGCAAAAGGGGCTAAAAAATGGGCAAACGGGAGCAAAATGGAGCCCCCTAGGAGCGTGGGGGTGCCATTGTTGGAATCCGAGATGTAACGGCCAAGTAATAGCTATGAACCTGGCCTTGAATGAGGCCCTAGGGCCTAGAAAGAGGGTGCACAGTAGTTTGACACTTGTCACAACA